GCTCCCCTTCCCCTGGGGTCAGGGCAGACCTGGGGGACCAAGCCCCGGGGCCAACGTCCCCTACCTGGGAGAGTGTCCAAAACCAGTCTCTGGGCGGCCACCGAGCTCACTAGCTTCCCCAGATCCAGCGGCTGCTTCTCTCCTGGCTGCGGGGACAGGTCAGCAGGCCGTGGGACAGGCAGCCCCCCAACCCCGGCCGCCCCGCCCCGCCCCTGCCCCGCGGCCCCGCATCTCACCCGGTGCAGGGCCACCTGTTGTGGGCTCAGGCCGTGCTTCGCCAGGATGGGCTGCAGGGCCTCCTGCAGCTGCTTGGTGGGCTTGGCGGAGATCCGCACCACGCGCTCCAGCGCCGCCAGCTCGAGCCTGTACGGGACCCTAACGCTGCACAAGGGCGGAGCGCCGGCCCCTCCGCTCCCCAACCCACCTGGGACAGGCCCAAGAGGGGGTGGAGCCTGAACGGGGTAGGTGGGGGCGGCTTGGGGGCGGGGTCTTAGCCCAGGGGGCGGGGTTAGCAGAGCGGCAGGACAGGGAGGGAGAACAGCCCCCTGAACTGGGCCCCAAGCGAGTGCTGAGATCCCGGACCCAAGGCTGGGAGGACAGACACTCACTCGAAGGTGATTCTGTTCTCCAGCCGCACTTCCTGGTCCGCCAGCACGGTGCAGTCCTGATCCAGGACCAGGGCCTTCTGCAGACACCAGGCAGGGTCTCAGAATCCCTTCTCTCCTCCCCACTTCCCCCATCCCCAGGGTCTGAGGGAACCACCATCACTTCTTGCCATGGCTGCCGCTGAGACTCCCTAAGGGTCAGAGGGAAGGGGTAATGGACCGGTGAGCCATAGAGATGCGGATGGAGTAAAAGATCAGGTTGGATGGAAGCCTGGTATGGCCAAGGCCAGGAAGAAGGGTGGCAAGAATGCTGGACCGACATGGAAGAGGAACAGAGAGTTATGGGAAACATGGGGGTGAGGTGGGCATGAAATGGTAATGGGGCTGCTTGGGTAAGGGGCAGGCTTAAGTCCTGAATCATGGGGCCACCTCTTCCTGAGCCAGGTCAGGATCTGCCTCTTGAACAGCAGCTCCTTGTCCCTCAGGCATGTGAAACCCAACCAGGCTAGCTGGATGAATTTCCTGCCTCTTCACCCACCTTTGGTCAGCCACCCAGGGCTTGCCCCTTTTTTGACACTTGTCCACTTATTTCCATCCCCACCTATAAAGGACACTTCTTGTCTCCTCACCGCAAGAAGGGCTCTCTTCCCTCCTAGACAGCTGTGAGGCCAGAAGGATGTAAAGTATCTGGCACAGTGCCTGGCACACAGTAGGTGCACAAACATAGCTGTAGTGATTACCGCCCTTGAGGCCCTGCTGGGCGCAGCCGCCCAGGGCTGGGAGGCAGCCTCTCCCAGGCAATAGGCCTGGGCTGCGCTTCAGGGACAGGTGGAGTGTGGGCGGAAGTTAAAATTAGCAGACATGAAAACCCATCTGGGTTGCCGAGGCTGCCTGGGCAGCCCAAGAAAGTGGGCAGAGCTCCTCCCACTGCTGCCCTCACACTCCCACGCTCCAGACCCCTGTACATGCCCTGCACTTCTGACCCACCTCTGCCTGGGAGGTCCTTCCCCCACAGCTCTGCCAGGCGAACTCCTCCTCATCCCCATCAACTGCTGCCTCTTCCATGAAGCCCTCTGGGACCAACTAGAAATGCCCAGCTTGCCCTAGAAACTCTCTGGAAGTTCACCTCCTTCTCCCTGATCACATCCTGCCTGGCACACCTCTAGCCTTTGGACCTGGAGGAAAGACCTCAGCGAGGGTGGCTTTGCCCACCCACCTGGTAGGGACTTAGAACTGTCTACTGGGCAAATGAAGTCCTGAGGGGTCTCTCTGGGATGCAGTATGCTTCCTTTAGATTCCCCCTTACTGGATGGTTTAGTTTAAGAGGGTTTTCTCCTAGACTCCTCTTTAAAGCAATGCTAGTTTGTACTCAAAGGAAAGTTTCTCATAGGTTAGGTGCCGTTGGGCAGCCCTGGTGGCAGAGGAGGTAAGGGCTCCCCCAAATGGCCATTTCAGGGATGGGCAGTCTGAATCCTGGAAATGATGGGGGGAAACCCCAACTCTAACTGTGGTTTTCCCTGAGTCTACCTCCTAGAGACCATCACAGCAAGGATGATGGATGAAGCTGGAAAATAGGATGGGGATGGGGCCGGGATAGGATTTTAGTGGGATGAGAGTGGATATCTGAGTTTGAGTGAGGTGTTGGTGCTGGGTTGCTTCGGAGTTGGGTGGGGGCTGAAGTTAGGAAGGGGGTGAGAATAGGGGATGCGGTTGGAATTAGGAATGAAATTGGGGTTGGGTCATGGCTGAGCAGACTCAGGAATGGGATTGGGGTCAGGATTAGGATCAGGAAAAGAGTGAGAGTTGGGGACCAGGCCAGGTTCATACCTGTTCATTGCCCACCAGGTAGACCTTGATGTCAGGCAGAGAGAGGCCTCGTTTCTCACAGATGCCTGCCAGCATGCCGCGGATAGTGAGGCCAGGTCGGGCCAGGGCCAAGGAGGCTGTGCCATCAGGCAGGTATACGCAGCAGTACTTCCCTGGCCGGCTTTCGCTCTCACCTTCTGAGCTCCCAAGACTCTTCCGGTGGCTCTGATTCAGAGCAGGTGTTGGGGAAGGTGATGTGTACACAAGCAAGGATACACAGACAGGTAAGCTGACTGAGGCACACACACACGCATACACATGCCCAAGAGCACACCTGTAGGCAGGCAAGACATGTCCTCCTACAGGTATACATGTATGCTAACCCAAAGTATGGGCACCCAGAGACAGGTCCACCCACTGACTGCTACATATCTGGGCACCCACTCGTGCACACACATCGGCTGAAGAGGATGTGCACCCATGACATGCATGGCCTAGTGTGGTAAGGACAGGAGAAAGTAAGGAGGCTGAAGGTCTGGCCTTGTGGGTCAAGCTGGGAGATGAAGTGGGGCCAGCGACTGGGAATGACAGCGGCCACACAAAGGGGCCTGAGTGGTGGCCCCAGCCCACACCTCGTCTCCCCCCAGCAGTTGGCTCACCTCAGATTTGCTGCTAGCAAAGGCAAGGAAGCCGAGGTCCAGACTGGCCGAGGAGTTGAGGGAGCCCTGGGACTCCCGGCGCAAGGAGTTTGCCGCGCTGCCTCCTAGTTCTAAGGGAGAGGGAGAATGAGAAGACAGGCCCCCTTCCTCCACGCCCCTGCTGAGAACTGTCTCCAGCAGGGCGCAAGTAGCTGGAGCCCTCCTGCGGGGGGTCTCACGCGGCTAGGGTTCCTGGAAGCTTCGCTACTGAAGGGGCTTCTCAAACTTCTGGGGTCTCGCGTGGGAACGGGACCACCGGGGGAACGTGGGGGTCACAGTCATCTGCATTTCGATTTTCATAGACTTACGGGCTGCAGGACCGGTGTTCTCAAACCTTGCCCAAACTCCCGCCCCCATTCATCTCTGCGACCGGCTCCTGTCCTCACCCCTGCGGAAGGACTTGCGGAGCGGGCGGCCCCCAGGGCCCTCAGCAGGCGGCAGCTGCCCCAACTCCTCCACGCCCAGCGGCAGCGACTTTCCGGGCTTCAGCTTCGGCTTCTGCAAGATACAGGGAAGGCACTGGCACTGGGCCGGGCCCCAGACCGCAGGCTGACCGTGGGCACAGCCCCGCGGATCTGCACCCGGCGGCCTGCCCCCCACAGCCCCTGGTCCGCACCTTCCTGGTGGCGTCAGGGCTGCCGAGGCGCGCGGAGCCGGGTTCCCGCAGTGGGCGACCCTCGGCCTCCGCCAGGAGGCACTCGCGGTACAGCGGGGATTTGACGAAGCGCGCATAGCTGTCGAACTTCATCAAGTTGAAGATCTGCGGAACCCGCGCCGAGGCGGTGAGCAAGAGAGGGCGCTCTGCCCGCCGCCCGAGTCCCAGGACCAGCTCTCGGGGCTGGGTTTGGCGGGGTCCCCAACCTAAGGAACAAGTCCCTAGCCCCTCCCACCCACCCCCTTGCTCCAGTCCCCGCCCTTTTTCTTGGCCCCGCCCCTAACCCTCCCTTCACCGCCGCCTTTGGTCCATCACCCTCTGACCCGCACCCCTTCCCGTGAAGTTAGCAGGGTCTCATCATCCAGATTTGCTCTCTTCCTCCTCACCCTACCCACGCCGCCCCGGCCGCTCCGGCCCCGCCCCTGGATCTGGCCCCGCCTCTGCTCCATCGCTCTCCCTCCCGAGGCCACGCCCCTCACCCAGGCCACGCCCCCTGGGGCCGCTCACCTGAAGCTGCTGTTCGCGGAACATGTCCGGTCGAGGCTCCGCCAGCACCTCCTCGCCGAGCCAGGCTTGCCGGTCGATATTTACTGGGCTCAGCGCCTGGCTGGACAGGAACTCCTGGTAGATGTTGCGGGCCTCCTGAGCTAACTAGGGTAGGAGGGGCAGGAGAAGGTCAGGGTAATGGCTCAGGCCCTGCTTCCACCTCTCTGCCTCAGCTCACCCTTCTCCTCACCTGCTGGGTGTTGCTGGCTGGGATCTGCTGGAAGCGCTCGCAGGCCTTCCAGAAAGTCACGTTCTCCGCACTGAACTCCTTCTTCAGGAACTCCTGGAGGTAGGGGAAAGGAGGGGGCAGTCAGAGACAGACACCCTGTCAGGGGATGTGGTCAAAGAGATTGATATAGAGGCAGGTCCCAGAGGCCAAGCCAGACAGATAGGGCCAGACAGACAGATGAGGTCAGATCCGGAGGCACAGAGAGGAAATAAGAGGCAGAGAGGAAACTTCCCAGCTGGGAAAAGAGCAGGAGAGTGCCAAAGAAAGGCTGGATGAGGCAGCTGACAGGAGTCAGCCTGAGGCTCCATCCATGCCCTCTCCCCTGCCCCCCCACCCACCCCCCCCCAATGGTGGCCACTGCCAGCCGCCCTCCCCATCCCACCCCAGGGCTTACAGTGAAGTAAGCCAGGCCCAGCGGGTCCTGCAGCAGCCGCTCGAAGGACAGGCCCCAACTGGCCACAGGCTGCTCCTCGGAGGGGAAGGGGCTGCTGGGGCCACTGGGGAGACTGTGGATGCTGAGGGAGCTGCCTCGGCCCTCGCCCTGGCCCTGGGGCCCCGCCGTGCTGCTCAGCTCTGCGAGGGGATGGACAAGTACAGGTGAGCCTTGTGGCCTTCCCCAGCCCCTGGTCCAACCCCATCTGCCGGTACTTTCCCTGTAAAGACAGCAAGTGGCAGGGGTATCCCCACCCTCTTTCCCTTTACACCCCCTCAGCCCCCACCCCCACCCACAGCCAGGCTTCCTTCACACCCTCTGTCACTTACCTCCATCCGAGACGGCCAGAACCTACAAGAAACCCAAGGTAGGAAGTCAGAGTAGAACTCAGGGTGGATTCTCAAGAGACAGTTCTAGGCTCAGTCCCCAGGACTGGAGCTGTGTTCTCTCCTGCCTGGAGGGCCATGCTGGACGTTCTCAGCCAGGTCACTGCTAGCTTAGGGTTTTGCTCAGGCTGCCCCTGGCTCCCTTCCATCATGTGCCAACCGATGTGTGCTGGGACTTATGCCAGGGACCCTGCAGTCACCGCCTGGTTGACCCCCAGCATCCACTGGCTGAGCCTGGGGGTAGAGCATGCTGGGTAGGAGCACCAGCTTTTGAACTTGTCTCTGCCACTTACTAGCTGTGTGACTCTGGGCAAGTTACTTGTCTCCATCTGTAAACAAGGGATGGGGATAATAATAGTAACTTACTTCCTGGGCCTGCTGTGAGGATCAAATCAGTTTAATCTATTTGCAGCATCTAGAACAGGGGCCAGCATGTGGTAATTGCTGTATCAGTGTTTGCTGTTGTCTTTGAGGAAAGGAGAATGTGCCTCTGTAGCTGAGGATCTCCTCATTGCAACTGTTTCCTCTTGGAAACACCCCACCTTGGGCAGGGCATAGGGTGCTGTATTTTAGCGGAGAGCAGCTGTTCTCAAACTTTAGTGTGCATTAGAATGACAGGGGTGGAGGGCAGCACCTCCAGAGAGTCAGGTTCAGGGGGTCCAGGATGGAGCCTGAGACCCTCCATTTCTAACAAGCCCCCAGGCAATGCTGATGCTGTTGGTTACGGACCACACTGTCAATCCGATCCTCCCTGCTCCCCCACCCCAGCCCTGCCAGCCCCACGCACAGCTCCGACTTCTCTGGGAATCCCAACCATTAGTGAAACGGAAAAACCCTCCTTTCAAAATGACTCTTGCAGTGGTTTCCCTTGGGCTTCCTACCTTCCTAGCAGCTCCTCCAGCTTCCTCACCATCTCCTACACACACGAGGCAGCCGCCACCCCTCCCTGACTCTGTCCTGGGCCCTTTCTCCCTCCCACATCTCCCCAGCTTCAAACACACATAGCTGACTTCCTGCTGACATCTCCACCCCAATGTCCCACAAGCCCTTCCAGCTCAGCCAGTCCCACATGGAAGCCACCTCTGCCACCACCAAAGCAAGGCACTGAACCAGCTTCCCTGCCATCGGTTTTCTTCCCATCGCCTGGGCTCCCAACACCAGGGCTTGACTCAGCCCCAATTCCTCCCTCCCTCTCACCTCCTACATTTTCACGAGGCCCTTCCACCACCTGTTCCTTCATCCCATCCCCACTGGAATCAGGTCTGCAACTCTCCTCCCCAGAAAGCCTCTCCCTCCCTCTCTGTTCCCCAGTCCCACCTGGGAGCAGCTGGATCACACATCTGTGGGCCAGAGCTGGCCTGCCAATAGGTGAGACATTATTAATATCAGAATGGGTTTTTTTTTTAAACTTTCAAGGGGTTTCCCACATTTAAAAGTCAGGAGTTTTACATGAAACCTCAGCTTTCGGCCACAGCTACCCTAAGCTTCTTCCCAGTGGGGCAACCTTGGCTGGCACCGAGCAGCAACTGCTTCCCCTAGAAGGGACTCATGCTCTCCTCAGAGGTCTCTGGGGCCAATTTGATGCATTTTTGTTATATATGGAAAGCAGGTCAAAATTGTGCTGTGTGACTTTGGACAGGATACTTCACCTCTCTGTGCTTCACTTTCTCCTTCTATACAAATGAGGAAAATAATGGTCCTGACTTTACAGGGTTGCTGTGATTAAATAAGTCAGATACATGTAGAGAGAGAACTCAGAGCACTAGCTGGCCTGTGATAAATAATCAAGGACCATTCCCATTATTATTGCTGTTGTTGCATTAGCATTGGTGTCTGACCCTACTCCAGCTTTCAGCTTTGCCGAGCCCTGCCATAGAGGGAAGAGCACAGGTATCAGGTCTATCAGACCCAGATTCAAATCCTAGCCCTGCCCTTTTCTGGTTTTACAAACTTGGGCCCCTCCCAGAGCCTCTCCAAGCTGGAGCGTGGGGATAAGTCCTTGCTGTGGAGCAGGGAAAGCTTGTGCAGAGGGTGGCTGGGCGTGGAATCGTCAGCCCAGCCCTTGCCCTCCTGCCTCTGCACTCGCCCATCTGATTCCTTCATCCAAGACATCTCCCGAGGCTGCAGAACAAAGTCCTAACTCCTGGGGTGTGTGATGGGGACAAGTTGAAGCTCAAGGTCCTTTCCAGCTGCTCTTTGCCTTCCTGGCATCTCCCCTCTTGCCCCCACCTGCCTGCCCCACGTTCTTCTTCCCCACGCTGCTCTGGGGCTGTTCCCAGCCTCAGAAGTCACCACCCACTGCCCTCTGCCCAGGTCTCTGGGAACCATCCTGAGTTACCCCCCCTGCCCTCCTGCCCTCTCCTGCTGCTAGGTGGCTACCTGGCCCTCCCTCCTCTCACACCCACCGGCCTCTCTCTAGTCCCCCTTTATCTTTGGGACTCAGCCTCTCTCTTGCTCAGAGCTCTCCATGGCCCCCCACTTCCCCCAGGGGGACGAGGGAGGTGCGCACGGGCAGGCCCAGACCCCAGAGAGGGCAGAGGACCCTGGGCTGGCTTTTACTCCTCTTTGGTTTTATTGTTTCCATCATGTTGAATGCATTGTGTCTTTAGGTGGGACCGGCTCCCAGGCCCTCTGCGGGCCCCACTCCCGGCTCTGGGAGGCAGAGCAGTTGCTGGGTTACAGCGGCTCTGCCTGGGCCTGACTAATGAACCCCTTCAAGCCTCCCCTGTTGCCCTCCCCCTCACCTCCATCCTACCCTCCAGCAAGCTTCCATTTCCCCCCACCCCTTCACACTCTTGCTTCCTGCTTTGCTGAGCCTGGGATCTGCTCCTGTTCCCTGCACCCTGCCACTCTCCAATCCCTGCCCACTGACATCAGTCATCCCCAGACACCAGCCGCCCCGAATCCCCCTGCCCACCACACTTCTGCCCACCCATGTCTGGGCCTCTATCCTGCCAGCATGGCAGCTCCTGGAGGGCAGGCCTGTACTGGGGGAGGGAACCAGCCCAAACTCCCTTGTTACCCTGCACCTCTTTGCCCAGGTGCTCCCAAGCAGCCTTGAGGGCCAGGCAGCCCTCCTCTGCCCTGGCAGGAGGCACTGGCACTCCTTTCGCCAGGGATGCTCTGCCTCTGAACGCCCATCTCTGTGGCCCACCATTCTTCCAGGCCCCTCTTGTCTCACTAGCTGTTAACCTATAGAGCTGGGGCTAAGACAGGATGGAGATCCAGAGGCGGGACGGAGAAGGGATGGGGCCCAGTTCCAGATCCATGATTCCAGGGCAAGTAACTTCCCTTCTCTGGGCCTCAGTGTCCCCCTGGGTAGCATGGGGCTCAGCACTCCCAACCTCCTGGGGCTGCTGGGAAGGATGAGCGAGGCCCCAGTTGTGAAGGCGGAGAGTGGGCTCCGATCTGCCAGGCTCGCGAGTCTGGGGAAGTAATGCTGAGTGGCGCTGGCCTTGCCCCATCTCAGCCTGGCCTGCCCGAGGAGAAGTGGTGAGTGGATGGGAGAAAAGGGGAAGAAAGGATGAGGAAGGGTGTGGTGCTAGTGGCACCCCCGACCCATCGTCCTGCCTCAGCTTGCCAGACTTTTTTCTTTGAAAATGGGTCCTGGGGGTACTGCAGGTATTTGAGAATACTAAGGTGAGGGAGGCCCGACATTTCCTGAGCTCCGATTGTGTGACAGGTGCTCTCTGACAGTGACAGCACGCATCCGTGTTCTCCCAACATCCTCACATCCTCATCCTGTGTGGCAGGTATTGTTACTTCCGTTTTATAGATAGGGAAGCCTCGGCCCGGAGAAATCACACAGCTGAGATGTGGCTGAGCTGAAATTAGGGCTGAAGTGTGCCTGACTCGAGCCTGAGGTCTCCCTTCCACTGAGCTGCCTCCCTGGGGAAACAGGAGACGTACCAGGGAGTGGGGAGGCCCAGGGCCTCAGCCCTTGGGGCAGAGATGGGTAAGGTGGGTCAGGGGTGGAGGGCCCAGGGGCCCCTGGATGAACTCTGCCCTCTGGAGGGGTCAGACCTCGAGGAAGGGCTGATTTACTGAGCATCTTCTGGGCTGAGCCCTCTATACCATCATCTCATTTCCTCCTAGACTGGGGAGACTGAGGCCCTGAGTTCTCTCTAAGTAAACCCACAGAGAGCCCTGGCTGCCCGGCCCTTCAGCCTGAGTCAGCTCTGTGTAACTGACTCCCAACACCAAGCTGGACTCCAGGTACAGTGGGCTCTGCCTTGCAGGCGTCCCCAGGTAGGAAGACTAGCTGGACCTCAGGAGAGCGATGGTAACCGCCCCTTTCTAGGATTTAGGATCGCCAGCCCTTGGGCCGTGTCCCTGTACACACACTGTTTCCCCATATGCAGGCCTCTCCCCATGCCATTCCCTCCTCCAGCTGGTACATCCTTTCAGGACATCTCCCGTGCCAACAATGCTCGAAGTGAGTGGAGAGGTTTGTCCTCCCTCCCAGATCCTCCTCAAGCTTTCTCTGTCCCTGAGCTGCGGCTCTTACCCAAACCGGAGTTTTATGCCGGTATTCGCACCCGTGCATTTTGTGCCTTGCCAGACTGGGAGCTAGAGTGATGGGCCTGGGTCTTGATGCCTGGGAGGGGGCCAGCACTGAGCAGGTTCTAAGGAGGGGTTGTTGAATGACTGAGTGAGCAAACAAATGAAGTAAGTGGCTGTTGGGACTGTGCGAAGGCATCTCTGGAGGGGGCTGGAGCCATCTCTAAGTGACAGGTTTCATCGCAACTGTCTGACAAGCTGAGTGGCAGAAAGACGAGGCTGACAAATGAAGCTGCCTCAGCAGGGAACGAAGGTGGTGGCGGGTGGGGGTGGCGGCAGGGGGAGGTGGAGGAGGACAGAGCCAGGCAGTTCTGGGAGGTGGAGAAGCCCTGGCACAGTCAGGTTCAAATGCGGGTCCCTCTCCTTACCAGCTGCCCTCGGCATGTCATGACTCCTTTGAGCCTCCCTCGGGAGGTAACTCGTGGAAGGAAGCCTACACCTGGCCCACATCTGTGCACATCCCCCTCTGTCCTTCCCCCTCCCCATTCAGCTGAGTGTGGCCTCAGAAAGCTGCACAATGGCCAGCCAGTGGCCAATCTGTGACCCTTGGAATTCCAAGGGCTGGCAGAGTTCCGAACGGGCCCAGGCAGGTTGCTGAGAGGAATCAGAGTGTCGGTGGCCTTGCAGGGACTCGGGGCAGAGACCGGGCCCCCTCCCTGCTCTGAATGAGTTTTGAGCAGAGAAGCCACAGGTTGACATGGGAAGGGCAGGGGCTGGGTCTGTCCCCTCAGCTGTCCTGCAGTTCTGGGCACTGCTGAGAAGCATCAACCCAGCGGCCCGCTTGGGGTGGACGTGAGAGTGGGCGTGCTCCTCCTCGGCCTGGATGCCCAGGGAGGGGTGAGCCAAGTGTCACGCCTCCAGGGCAGGAATGGGAGGCCCATGGGTGTTTGCACTTTCAGAGTTAGGTTGATGGCAGAGATAGTGAGGCGGGGGACTGGGCCTGCTGGGAGGGGTTTGCCTGTCTCCCACCCAGCTGGCCTGGGGCTGGGCACTAAAAAGAAGCTGGAGGAAGAGGTGTGGGGACAGGCCTTGGGGCTTGGGAGGAGGAGTGGGGTTGGGAGTGGCTCAACTTCTGGGTGAAGCAGAGGATGCTTGAAGAGGGGCTGAGAATGAAGGCGAGGTATTGGGCTGACATTCATGGAGCCCCCACAATGGGTCAGGGGCCATTCATCATTCCACTTAATCATCACAACAAGCCTTTGAAATATATTCCAATCTCCTCATTTTATAGATGAAGAAACTGAGGGTCAGAGAGGACCCTCTTATAAGGGACAACAGAGCTGAGGTTGGAACCCAGGTCTCTCTAGACCCATTGGCTTGGTCCTAAAGCATTAGGCTGGAGCTGGGTCGGAGACTAGAACACTGTCCAGCCTTCCTGGGGTCTTTAGGAGGGGCTGGTGTCCTAGGGAGAGAAAAAAAGCCTGGCGCAGCTGCTCTCATCTGCTGGATGAATAAAGACCCTGGACTGTCCAAGGGCAGCTCTAACCCGGACACCAAGAAGCCAGAGAGCAGGTTTAGGGGGTGGGGCAGCCGCTGCTAGGGGCACCCTAGTGCCCAGCTCCCCCAACTCTTCCTAGTAGCCCGGGAATAGAACAGGCAGAAGCTGTACCAACCTGGTCTGTCCCTGCTGACCCATCCCACGCTGCCTAAGGACAGCGAGTTCTGCCAGGAAGCCTCAGGGTGGGAGTGCAGGTCCAAGAGGAGGGCGGTGACCCAGTAAGGGCTGCCCCTTACCTGGCCTTGGGCATCAGGTCATTGGGTGAAGAGGGGAGGGCCGAACTCTGGCCCCCCTAGGAGTTTCCAGGGGGGCAAAGGGCGTGCCAGATGTCCCTGCTACCCTAGGATGCTGGCACCCCCAGACGGTGCCAAAGTAGCAGGTAGGAGACGAGTGGGGCCTGGGCCAGAAGCCTGTGCCTGCTCTCCAATGGTCTCACCCTCAGAGTGGCCCCAGGTCCCCAGCAGAGCCATCTGGAAGGTCCTGGGGTAAGGGCACCAGTTCCCACCACCTGCTGCTGTCTGTCCCCAGCTTCTCCCGCCCGCTGGCAGCATGCAGGCTCTTGCCCAGCCCTGCCGGGTGTGCCTCTTGGGCTCCACCCTGGGTGTGCCCACCCCCTCCCCACGGGCCTGGCCTGGAGCCCGCACTCACCATGCGTCCGTTGGGGACGCCCAGGTGCTTGGGCTTCCCTGGCATGCCGCTGCTGTTCACGGGTCCCCGCCGCGGGGGGTGCCCACCATGGGGACTGTGGGCAGCGCCGCCGGCCAGAGCTTGCAGGGCGACAGGCAGGCGGCGGAGAGAGCCCAGCTCCGCTCCTGCGGGCCCTCACATCCTGAAACACCAGCTCACTACCTCTTTTCTCTGCCACAGGAAGTGTCTCTATAGAAACCGAACCACAGAAAGAAGCAAGGTCTAAGAGCGAATGCTTCTTCCTACACACACACACGCACACACACGTTCACACTCACACACTCATGCTGCCAACACACCCTTGGCAGTGTCCCACGCAGGCACCAACACATGACAGAGGCCTCTGTGTGCCCAGCGAGGAGTCCAGCCTCGTCTGGTCCAGCCCAGGGGGTTCCAAGTTCACGTCTGGGCACACAGAAGTGCACGTTCACACACCTAGGCACCTTCGTATGCCCTGCAGGGGCTCCTGTGGACGTAGGAACGTGTCCACTGGGACCTGAGTGTCCACTCATGTACATTACTGAGCCCACACCTGCTGGGTGCTGGGCGTGTGCACACTCAGCACCCCTCCCCCGGCAGTTGTGCACGGGCAGAGCACTACTTCTGTCCCGAGACACCTCCAGACTGTCCTTCCTAGGCCTGTGCCTGGGTGTGCAGACAAGTGGATACACTGCACGCATGGTCACGCACACACAGACCTTTCAGGTGCACAGGTCAGAAACACACAGGTTCTCCCTCATCAGGAGAGAACCTCATCACTGTCCCTTGGACCGGTACATGTGACAGGCACACCTGCACACAGGCACGTATGAATTCAGACATCCCAGTGACGTGTGCAACCAGGGATGCACACGCTCACCCACTGGGCAGGGAACAGATCAGGTGCCTCTGTGTCCAAAAGCAGCTGTGCGTTCATAGTCACTCATGTAAAAGTCCCACCTTGGTGTAGTGCTCTTGACTGAAAAGGGGCACTCTGCCTTCTCAGCCATGGTCCAGTCCCAGATGGACTCAGGCCCTTTAGCCAGAGTCCTCGGTTGGCCTCTTTCTTACATGAGCGTGCACCTGCTATAGGACTTGCATCTTACCCAAATATGGGGTTACTTACAACCCTCAAGTCACCCATCACTCCACTCTGGGACCCTCTTTCTACAAGGATAAGATGACACCCCATCTTTCATATTCTACCCTCTATTTCACTGCCCCCTTCTAGGGTCATGACCTGAAACTTTAGGAGGCAGAAACCGAGTGACTCTTCACCTCAAATTCACATCCTCTTCCTCCTGAGCACACAGCTAAACTTTGATTTCCCATCCTCCCTTGCAGTCAGGTGTGGCCATGTGCCAACTAGTTCCCAGCCACTGAATGTGAGTGGAGTGATGTGTGCCGAGGCTTTTAAGCCGTGTATGTCTCCCCTTTAGCTGGCTGCTTGGAGAAGATGAAGTCCTAAGGGATGGTAGAGGCACAAGAAGGAAGAAGCCTGGGTCTCTGCATTAGCAAAAGGAGGCAAGCCACTCATCAACCAGGAACACCAGTTTTGGACTTCTAAGAAAGAGAGAAATCAACTTCTTGGAGCCATTAGACACCTTAGGGTCTATTTGTTATAGCTACTAGCATTGCCCTAGTTAATATACCTCTTCACCCAGTCCTAACTCACCTCTATCCAGACACCTTGCTCTAGGCCACCCAGAGAGAGGGATTTGGTCAGACTTGGGGTGTATATTGGGGGCTGCTTTGGGGCCTGGCACATTGTTAAGAGGGCCTTAATAAGATGTCTGACAGTGTCAGTATGCCTGTGACAGGTTGATACGGTGTGTGATGTGACTGGAGACTGCCTGCCTGTCTACTGTGCTGTGGATCCAGGCCTAGCTTCATAGGGTCTTTCCCACACATGACCTCATTTGATCCTCATAACCTCTTTGTTAGTGGTGCTCATTATTCCCATTTTACAGATCAGGAAACTGGACTCTGAGAGAAGTGAGTCACCCAAGTTTAGACAAGTTGCCTTGAATGTTTGTGCTTGGGATATCAGGAGCTGAGCCTGGGCCACCGCTGGTCCCGTCTCTAACAGTGCATCTTCCTCTCTGCAAAGACCCAATCAGGGGATCTGCCTAGGAACTCCTCCTAAGCGCATCCTCTCCTGCTGCAGAAGCAGCAGCAGCTGTCGGCCAGCCTCAGCAATGGGTTCTTAAGAGAGACAAAAGCAGCAACCAATCATGGAACGGCACGTTCGGCTTGTGGGCCAACATGGAGCAGAGGGAGGATTTGAGTCGGTGAGAAAGGCTTTCTTCTGCCTCTCCCTACCACTCCACCATGGATGCTAGTTTCAGCTCTGACCACATCTTTACCCCAGGGACTCCAGCCAACCCTGGGACTTCCTATCTCTCAGCCCTTGTTTAATTTTCTTCACTCCATAGGACACTTCTCAACTTCTCTTTCTGTGGCTTCTCACAGGGAATTAATTAGTTACTGATATCTAGTTTTCCTGTGGGACTTAAAAAATATATTTATTATTTTATTTTTATTTATTTATTGGGGGGGAGGGAGTAATTAGGTTTATTTCTTTATTTTTGATGGAAGTACTGAGGATTGAACCCAGGACCTCATGCATACCAAGCACACACTCTACCACCGAGTTATACCCTCCCCCACCATGGGACTTCTGATGACCCTTCCCTGTGGAGACCTCCCTGGCTCAGGCACCACTCTCTCTTATCTGGTCACAGTGACCTCTTATTGGCTCCTTATCTTATCTGGAGCCAGAGAAACCCATATTGGTCACCCCCATGCTTAAAACCATCCCATTGCCTTCTGGGAAAAGGCCACGTACCTTAGCTGGGAATTGAAGGCCCTTAGAGTTCTGGCCTCAGCCAAACTCTCCCTACCACTCCTCAGCCATTCCAAACTGCTTGCATTCTTTATGCTTTCAAGGATCCCTCCTGGCCTTTGCATTTCCTGTTTTCTTTGCTGAGAGTGCGTTTCCTCTTTTTGACAAACTACTGCTGATTCTTCATGACCCTATTCCAAGTTCTAGAACAAATATTCATTCTTTCACCAATTATTTATTAATCACCTTCTATGTGCCAAGCACTGTTCTAGATGCTGGGGATCCAGTAGTGACTATAGCTGGTAAGTATCCAGCCCTTACGGGGGTCTAGTGGAATGCTCATGTTCTTGTTTGCATAGATATAGACACATCTCTGGAAGGGTATACCCCTTGGGCTTTTGTTGTTGCACATATGTTACATATACACATATATATGTGTGTGTGTATATATACACATATGTATATATATTTGTATGTGTTTGTACATAAAGTCACATTTTAAAAAGATGACTCAACACTTAATCCTGAGTAAGTTAATTCACTCAAAAGGGCAACTTCGTAAAGGAACAAGGAACCAAATCTCCCACCTTGTGATCTATAACAGGAGTCATTGATCCAAGTGGCTAGAGGGGCCAAGCAGGTGCTGTAAATTACCGGTCAGAATGAAGACTAATTTAGAAAAGGAAGGCATTTTCATGGGGGTAGCCCTATGAGCTTAGTGTGGTTGGATCTTCCGATTTTTCTTGGGAAGCTGGAAATTTGAGTTTCCACTGTGAATTTGTCTCCTAATTAAAATATCAGTAGTTAAGTCACTTACTGAAATAGCATCAGCAAGAGCTCTGTTTGGCTGCGGGCTATCAGTTTTCGACCTATGGTCCACAGCCAGCTTTCCTGGACCTTTCACAGACGTTTCTTGCTGCACAGGGCTGGGGCTACAACCGTTTGGATCCGAATGGGTCCCAACCATCACTGGGACAGTATCCCGGTTTGCTCCTCCTGCTGAAACCCGACTGGGTCGGAGGAACTGGAAGTAGTGGACGCCATCAGATAATTGTGGGAATTCTAAATTTCCAAAGACGTGGAGCTGGGGGCGGTAAAGCCGGAGACGGCTAAAAGCTCGCCAGTGAGTTCTAGGCGGAGCGGGAGTTGGAATTCAGGTCTCCGCCTTCGGTTCAGAACTCCTTTCTCCTGGGATTGAGACAGGTTACTCCAGGGACGCGACCAGTGACTAGAGGCCAAGACTGTTGAAGGCTTCATTCCATTCCCCACCCATGCACGCAAGAGCGGCCCACAAAAACTACAAGTTCCAGCATGCCCCACTCCGCAGACGACCCTCGCGCTGCTCGCCGACTCAAATCATCCCTCTGCTCCGCGTTGGCCCGCAAGCCGAACGTGCTGTTCCATGATTGGTTGCTGCTCTTGTCGCTCGTAAGAACCCCATTGCTGAGGCTGGCCGACAGGCGCCTCGCAGCAGCCAAGGTACTTGACTAGAATGGGGAGCTGCTCAACAAATAAAGCCGCCGTCCCATCAGCACCGAGGATTTGCTTTTGCTGGGAGTTCCTGAGAGTTGGAGGGCTTCCGGCCGGAGGCCATTAGATGGAACACCCGGAAGGCGGAAGTCCTAGGACGGAAGTGGCGGAGAGGAACGGAGAATGGCGGCGGCGGGCTGTATTTGGCGCAGGGGCTGGGGCCGGCGGTGCCTGGGGAGGCCTGGGCTTCCCGGCCCCGGCCCTGGCCCCGCTACACCTCTACTTCTTCTCCTGTTGCTGGGGCCGGTGGCTGCGGATATAACTGACGGCAACAGTGAACACCTCAAGCGGGAGCATTCGCTCATCAAGCCCTACCAAGGTGAGGCCTGGGGCGGGAATGAGTGCAGTGAGCGCGAGGCTGGTCGGGGTTGGGGAAGGAGTGCCCTTTCTCCTGATCAGAGCAACTCTTTGGGTTTCCTGCCTCTGGCAAAGCCAGTCCTGGCCTGGCCTCTTGTGCACCTGTCTGTACCCGTGTTTCTGCCCACAGGGGTCGGTTCCAGCTCCATGCCTCTTTGGGACTTCCAGGGCAGTACCATACTCACGAGCCAGTATGTGCGTCTGACCCCTGACGAGCGCAGCAAAGAGGGCTCTATCTGGAACCACCAGGTGAGTGGTTTCCAAGAGACTAGGCAGACCCTTAAGTAAGCCATTACAGCTAGCCTTCAGCAGCCCAGACCTGAGCTTGGTTTAAAAGCTGCATCTCCGTCCCCCGCCCCCTTCCCCACCTTGGTCACACGCCAGTAATAACAAGTAATGGCTGTTGGAGTTACCTCGTGTCCGGAGCTGTGCTTGACGCTTTGTACACCATTCTCACTTCATTCCTTCAAAAGCCATGTGAAGTAGCTCCATTTTACTGACTAAGAAGCTAAGACTCAAGAGTTGAAAAAGCCTTCCCCAAAGGTATTTTCACATAGCCAGTTAGTAGTGGAGCTGTTGACCACGTGAACTGAACTCTCTAATTAGTGGGATAAATTAAACGAACGGTATCTTTATTGAGTGTTTAGTGTGTTAGGCACTGACTTTAACATGCCTTATTACGTTTAATTTTCAGACTGTTTGATACTCACAGCTATCGTGACTTTATTCAGAGCTAACATTGATGGTGAATGGCATAAGCAGCAGTTAAACCCTGATCTGTCTCATGTCCAAGCCCAGCAGTTTGCTCACTACCCTTGACCCCCGTACGGACAGTGGAGGAACTCCTTAGAAATATTTGCAGACTCAGCCCCCTTCCCCAGTGCTTGATTGAGGGTCTGGTCGTCAGTGGTGTGAAGGGGCTGGACTCGTGGGCAGTTTTAGTTTTCTGTGACCTTTGCTGCAGAGGTAAGGGAGCCTCAGGTGTCACTCATGTGTCATACATAAGGAGTGGCCAAGATTAGCTGCTACACAGACTCCACACTGAGGAAGGTCAAGGAAGGAGTGACGGGAATAATTCGGGGCAGAACCCGCTCCTCCCCAAGCCTGCCTGATGCCAGTCCTTCCCACGGCTTAAGCTTGGGCCAGTGTCCTAGTTTCCTCCATCACCCTGCCCTTTGGTCCCTTCAGGATGACTTCTGAGAGCCCAGAGTGTCCTTGTGTTGCCTCATCTGTCTGTTCCCTCACCTGCTCCTCTTCTTCCTGCTAGGGGCATCTGGAGATGCTTTCTTTAGCTTTCACTCTTATCCTCAGAGCCTGGGGTCTCCTCTAAGGGGATAAACATGCATTATGTCTGGACCGTCTGGCCCCTGGTGCCTGGCATCTGCAGTCATTCGCTGTGTTAATTTTGTTCCAATCTCTGTGGCTGCCTTCTTGCCTCAGGACCTTTGCACCTGTTCCCTCCATTGGGACACTACCTCCTGGCTCTTCAGGCCTGCTTGGTTCCTTCTTATCTGTTAAGTCCTAACTCGAGTGCCACCCACTCAGAGAGTTCTTCATTAATTACCTTGTTTCCTCCGAATCACATTCTGTTGCATTATTCTGTCTTAGGGGTTTCAGATAATTTTTTAAAATGATAACGCAGCCTTATATTTTTCAAGGAAATGAGCTCAGCGTAGCATTAAAAAAATTTTTATTTTAATGAGGTACAAGTAGTGCCGGAACTGTTAGAAACTGATTTCGTCACAAGTCACTTAATTACAGTTGTAGGTCGTTGGTGGTTGGTGATGTCCCAGGGCTGAAAGGTCTCTTCACTTAGCCTTCATCGAATTTTCACCGTCTGAAATATAACTGCCTTGTCTTCCTCCCCCACCTCGTTGTTCAGCTCCAGGACCTTTCCCTTTAGGCCCTGCAGATTTCCCCTAAAGGGCTGGATGGAGTGTTTCCTTCTCATTCCTGAAAGAAATGCTTGGAACTCTTAGGATTTTCTGCCCAGTGTTTCTCAAGAACCACCTTTTCCTTTACTGGGTTGGAGAAATGCTTTCTGGAGTTTTCTCTTTTTTGTCCCCTTCCCTCACTCCATCTGGGAGAGGCATCGAGTTAGCAAACACTCCAGAGCACCTGCTGTCTTCTAAGCAGCGATAAGACACAGCTCCTGCTGTGGCATGGGCGTGGGAGGGTGCGGACCAAGGGGTGGCCCAGCCTGACTAGAGCTCCAGGTGGCTGATGGCTGGAACGCAGGCCACGAGGGGCTGGGCTCGAGATGGTCTTGTGTGGAGGCTACAGCACTGGTCTTTAAGCTTTTTTTTTATTTAACTTTTAATGGTCTATAAATTTTTTTGCTGATGGATTGTCTGAAAGTATATATCCCCTTGAACTTTTTAAGACTTGATACTGAAAAAAAAAAACCCAAACAAGACAAAAATACAAAAAAAAAGGAATCAATATCCAAGATTGCTTATCATAAGTTTAAATTTTTGCAAAGGATGCAATTTCCAGCATATTTAAAGTATTGTTTTAAAATAAAATTGTTCAGTACTCAAGCGTACTCATTGGAATCTACATATAGCAGTTTGATATCCACTCTTAAACACGATGAATAAGCCGAAATTGTACATGAGGTTTTTTAAAATGCAGCTTGTATTTTCATTTCATTTCCTGCACTGAATTTTATCCTAGTGCAGTGTATTTATTGCTGGAAAATCTCATATTGATTAGCCCATCATATTTCCTTTGCAACTAAAATGAGGGTAATTTAAGCTTTTTAAAACTTCATTGGGAGCTTGAAATTAAGTTTTAATATTTTCTTTGGGATTATTATATTTATCATTGGTAAACAGTTGATAAAAAGAAATGCATTGCACACTTTTTGAATGACTATTACACAAAAGTAAACATGCATTGAAATGCGTCTCATTGAGCTGTCATCTCCCCACCCCCACCCGGATGGACGGCATTGTCAGACTGAGAAGCTTCAACACGACTGTGCTCTTTGTTTTAATTCATGTGACTGCTGAGAAACTGTTTGCTTAAATAGTAGCTGGAGACGGGGGTTTCATTATCGCAAGGCCACTCAATATTTTGAATTTCTTTGGTTTAGCAACCCCAAATCATACAGTGATCTTTCATCAAAAAATTTTGGTGTAGCAGCTGACTGTTGGATTTGCTTTGTTACAGGCCGAGACGTGGAAACCACCTGACTGTAAAATGGGTCGTGGCTGCCAAATGATTGATTCTGATTTAGATGGCCTGAGGGGGCGGCCAGGGCATTAAGATTTCTGAGCTCCCCAGGTTTCTCAGCTGTGCAGCTGGGGTGGAGGGTGATGCCCATGTTATGTTCTGCCCCCGAGAGCAGCTCATGCATCAGTTCCAGCCCGTACTTCATCTGCTTCAAATCCTTCAGACGTTTTATATTGTCCATGTCGTCGTAGTATTTCTATCCTCTGATCTGCAGTCTTGTCTGCAGTACGTGGAGACTTTCTAAGTCCTGGATAGTCTTAGTGGTGTGGGTTTCCCGGTCCTCAGCTTCCATGTGTACTCTTTCCTGAAACTGATCTCCCTGCAAACATGCCAGGGACCTTCCTGTTCACAGTTGCCCTTATGCTGGGAGGCACACCTCATGCGCACCTGCTTGGGGTCTTATCTGAGTGCATTGTTCCCACGCACAGAAAACTCCTGGGCACCAAAGAGGCCATTTGAAATCTTGCTTTCTGGGCTGACCTTTGTGTACGTGAGATATGTTTTCAATTTTTTTTTTTGAAATATATGAGGGCTTTCTAGTTATCTTTATTTTTTAAGTTATTACTGATCTCTGGTTTAATTTCCTCATGGCCAAGGGACAGACTGATTTCAGTGCTTGGAGATCTATTGAGACTAGTAGATGGTCCTTCAGAGGATCAGCTTTTTGGGGGAACATTCCATATGTGCTTGTAAAGGATGTGGATTCTGTTAGTTGAGTGAAGGATGCTGTTTAGATACTTAGGTCAAGATTGCTGATTGTGTTCAAATCTCTATATCTTTCCTGACATTTTCCCTCATTTTTATCAGTTAGTAGGAGAGGTGTATTAAAATTACTTTGTGTGCATTTGTCTTTATCTTTCCAGGTGGTCGGTTTCTGCTTTGTATGTTTTGAGACTGAAATTATCCTGATGAAAGGAATCGTTTGTCATAGAGAAGGGTCCCCCTCTAAACTTGATTACTGACACACCTAGCTGCGCGAGCTTGTTTTTGCTTATTTTTGCATGCAGTATCTTGTTCTATCCTTTTCTTTTTCCCATTTCTTTGTCTTTGAGAGTTGTCTCTTGTATACAGCATATAATTAGGCCTTTGCACAGTTATTTGTTTATTTTTATGACTTTTAAATAGTGTATTTTATGAAGCTATTCTCTTCAGTAGGATACTCATTGGATTGAGAAAGTTTTTAAAAATATAATGGCCATCAACAAAAATCTGATTACTGTAAATATGTGTCTGCATGCAAAAGAAAATAAAATTCCTCAAACTTTTTCTTTTCTTGTGGTAAAATATACATGACATAAAATTTACCATCTTAACCATTTTTGAGAGTGGAGTTCAGTGGCATTAAGTACACTGACCTTGTTGTGCAACCTCACCACCATCCACCTCCAGAACTTTTCTGTCATCCCAGGCTCAAATTCTTTACACGCTAACTCCCCATCACCCCTCCCCCCACAGCCCCATAGCCGCTGTTCTGCATTCTGTCTCTTTATTTGACTCTTCTAGTTACCTCCCATAAATGGAATCATAGAATATTTGTCTGTTTGACTTACTTCACTTAGCGTAATGTCTGCAAGGTTCATCATGCTGTAGCATGTATTAGTACTTCATTTCTTTTCATGGCTGAATAATATTCCTGTGTGTGTGTGTGTGTGTGTGTGTGTGTGTATGTATGTACACACGTGTGTACTTACAGATCACATTTTGTTTGTCCATTCATCTGTTGGTGGACACTTGGGTCATTTCTACCTTTTGTGAGTTCCTCTTGCGAACGGTGCTGCTGTGAACATGGGTATACACAAATGTCTGAGTGCCTGCTCTCACTTCTTTTGGTATGTACCTAGGAAGTGACATTGCTGGGTCATAAGGTCACTCTGTTTAACATTTTGAGGCCCACCAAGCTGTTTTCCCCAGTAACTACACCATTTTACATTCCCACCAGCACTGCACCAGGGTTCCAGTTTCTCCATGCCCTTGCAACACTTATTTTCCATTTTTTGGGTAATAGCCATCCTAATGGATGTGAAGTGGAATTTTGTGGTTTTGATTTGCATTTCCCTAATGACTAATGATGTTGAGCAACTTTTCCTGTGCTTATTAGCCATTTGTAAAAATGTCCATTCAAGTCCTTTGCCCATTTTTGGATTGCATTGTTTTTTGCTGTTGAGTTTTAGGAGTTCTCTGTATTCTGGATGTTATCAGTAAATGGCTTGTAAGTATTTTCTGCAACTCTGTCGGTTATCTTTTCGTTCTCTTGATGTTCTGTGATGTGTAAAAGATTTTAATTTTGATGAAGTCCAGTTTACCTAGTTTTTTTGTTGCCTGTGCTTTGGTGTCACACCCAGGAAATCATTGCTAAATCCAGTGTTATGAAGATTTTCCCCATGTTTTCTTCTAAGAGTTTTATAATCTTAGCTCTTAATTTTAAGTCTTTGATGTGTTATTTTTTAAATAAAACTTTTAATTTTGAGATAAATATAGATTCACATGCAGTTGTAAGAAATAATAGAGATTAAGAGGTACAGACTTTTAGTTACAAAATTAGTAAGTCACAAGGATGTGATGTACAGCATAGGCACTGTGGTCAGTAACATTGCAATAACTTTCTGTGGTGGCAGTTACTAGACTTACCGTGGTGATCAATTCATAATGTGTATAAATGTCGAATCCCTATGTGGTACACATGAGACTAATATAGTACTGTGTGTCAACTATACTTCAACTTAAAAAAAGATAAAAAGTAATGCAGGGAGATCCTGTGTATCCTTACCAGCATTTATCTACATTTAGTAAAATAACTGATACATTTGGGTTTAATCTGCCATCTTACTATTTACTTTCTATTTGTACTGAGTGTTCTCTGTTCATTTTTCTCTCTGGTCTTGACTTCTTTGGGGTTGGTTAATTTTTATTCCACTTTTACATCTACTAGCTTGAAAGTTCTGTGCTTGTTTCCCAATATTTTAGTGGTTACTCTGCAGTTTAAAACACACATCATGTTTTACCAAAGTCTAATAACACGTACTTTCACCTCCCTGCAGGACAGCGCAAGTTTCTTCCAGCACTTTAACTCCATTTATCCCATTGTTATTTATTTTAATCTTTCTGTTTTGAATCACACAAAACATGATTGTTTTATGCAGCCAAATATTTACTTCGATTTCTGTTTTCATGTTTACTTTATTTATTGCTCTGCCTTCCTGAATCTCTGACTTTACATCTGGTTCTGGATCACTTTCCTTCTCCCTGAACAATGAAAGACCGTTTTAAGGATTTTTTCTGAAAATGTCTTTATTTCACCTTCATTCTTTTTTTAGTTGCATAAATTAGCCTACTCATCCTAGGCCAGCAGTGTTTCACGTGGCGGTGCTCCTGCTGGTCCTTCAGTTCCTTCAGGCTTCTGATGGCGGTTGTTACTGAGGGGGAAGTGGTGCCATGGGTCCAGGTGCCACCGGCTCTCGTTTTCATGTGGGAATCACAGTGCCAGATGCCCACAGCTCGCCTCTTCATCTTGGTTTTGCCCCAAAAAGAGCAAATGTAGTTGGCATGCTGGCTGATTTCAGTTTTCTTCCCTGTCTTCCTGAGGGAGGCATCATAACAAGGCCCGTATTTATGGACGGTCCTGACCTCGGCGCATTTAGCCACGTTGGTGGAAACTGGGTCCGAGCCCAGAGAGCACCTTCCTTCTTGAAGGGTACATCTGCTAAGTATAAAATTCTGTGTTGATTGTTAGCTCCTTTCAACTCCAAATGTATCAATCTGTTGTTGCCTTTTTACTCCTAGTGGTTCTGTTGAGAATTCTGGTGTTAGGCTAATTATAGCTCTTTTGAAGGTCATCTGTCTTTTTTCCCTTCTGGTTGCTTTCAAGAGTATCTGGGGTTCTTTTGCTTTGTTTTGATTTTTTTTTTCTCCCTTCCTCTCTTTTTAATGTACTTAGTTATGATATTCTTTTTATTCGTCTCCTTTCATTAGTAAGACTTAAGATGTGTGGCATAATGTTTTTAAATCATTAAGTGCTTAGATATCTCTTTAAATGTTTTTTTTTTGCCCTATTTTCTTGCTACTCATTCTGAAACTTCAATTATATACAATGTGGACCTTCTCACTTTCCTCTCTTTCTTACCCACAGTGTTGTATGTACCGTGATTTTGTTTTCTCTGCTTCATTTTGAGTATTTTAATCTGACTAGACTTGAGTTCACTAATTCTCTTTTCATCTATTTTTAATCTGTGATAAAACCTATTCATTACATTGTATTTTTTTAGTGTGATTTTTGAAAATTTCAGTTACTACTGAAATTCTCAATCTTTTACCTCCTTGAATATAGTGAACTAGTTATTTGAAAGGCCAATATCTGGAGTTCCTGTTGGCCTCCCTGCTTCCCTACCTTCCTATGTTTCTTCCTTCCTACCTTTCTCTGTTTTTTGTTCATATCTTGTCTCTTTGTATTCCTGGTATTTTTGATTGTGCACCAAATACTGTGTTTGTAAGACATTTTGTTAAAAAATGTGAGGCCTAGGTGAGTCTGTTTGGTCTGATTTCAGGGATTGTGAGGACTCAGAGCTGCGCTGCAGCCCCTGGGAGGGCCTTTCTCATTCATTCTTACTTTTGGGTTGTAGTCTTTGTGGTCTCAGCCCAATCAAGACTGCTTCACCAGGCCTTCCCCCACCTCAGTGGGTCTTGGTCTCCGATTCCATGTCCATCTGTCCTTGAGAGCTGGCTGTCATCACCTTGCAGCTGCGCCCTCCAGAATCTGTGGAGTCTCCCAGAGCAGTGAGCTGTCGAGAACCGGGAAGGCCGACGTCACACTGTGTGCAGCAGGCCGTCATGCAGGTCCTAACCCTGTGTCCTCAGGGGCTGGGTCTCCTCACCTGCCTTCCTGGTGCCCAGACCTGGAACAGTGAATCTGAAAAATCAGTGATGCACAAGCCAGATCACCCATGGTGGGACAGAGAACGTTTGGTTTTTATTTGAATTTTTTCTGATTATAGGAGTAATATGTTCAACATGGAAGACTCACACGTAGAAAATAAACATTCCCCTCCCAGAGTCAGCCGTCAGTAACGTTGGCTCTTGTTTCTTTCATTTTTTTTCTTTCTCTACACATTTACTCATTCCTTTCTTTTTCAAAAATGAGAACATAGCACTGATACTATTTTGCAACTTACCTGCCCTTTCTCAGTGTCTTTGACTTCTTGGTCTTGACGGTCTTGGATCTGCCTCATTCTGTTAAAAAGCTGCAGCAGCCAAACTGCCCCCCAGGAAACGGGAGCACCCGCAGTCCCCCAGGCCGTGGGGCCTTGTCTTCCTCTCCTTCCTTGTCTGCATTGCTGTTAATGGTCTCTTTAAGAGTTGCCAATCCAAAAAGTCAGGAGTATCTGATGGGCCTTTGTTTGATTACCTGGCTCACACCCCTGTCTGCAGACGTCCCCTCAGTGGCTTGTCATCCAAGTGTGTGTCGACACCATAGTTTTCACAAACAACTTCCTGGTAAGGAGGGCCAGGCCTGTCTCCTAGCTGTGAGCCGGGCCCAGCTCTGCACCTGGTGTTCCTGGCTGCTGGGAATCCGCTGCCTTCCCTCACATCCCATTAGCCCGAGGCCCTGGAGCTGACCCAGCCCCCAGCCCTGATGCTGCCGCCGCCCTGGGGCTGGGCTGAGCCTGCAGGAAGCAGGAGGTGTGCTGGCTGAGAGCTGGGGGTTTGGAGTCAGCCAGACCTGGGTTGAGTCCCTCAGTGCGGAAGGTTGGTTAGGAGGGAAGACAGTGGGGGTGGGAGGCCAGAAAGGAGTTGGTGCAGTTTGTGTTACAGGCCTGAATCCACGTGCGGTGTAGACAATAGATGAGCTTCTGAGTCAGACAGTCCTGGGTGTGAACTGGGATCATCCACTTAACCTGCTGTGGACAAGTTGTTTTGTCTCTGAATGTGTTTTCTTTTTAGTAAAATATGTGACAAGTAGGGGTAGTGATCCTTCCACAAGCTTGCAGGGCAGGAGCGGTGGGGTTGGAGAGAAAACAGGGCTAACGGGTTTGGCTGGTGTTGGGGAAAGTGTGAGAAAGTGAGAACCCGCCCAGGAGAAGACTGGGGCGGGGGTGGGCGGAGTCTGGGCCTGGGCAGCCTTGGGACACTGTGTGGCCTTCCCCCCAACCTGGGAAGCCCAGCAGCTCCCTCCCTTCTTCCTGAAAACACTAGGGGGTCTGCTGGTCAGTGGCACTTCTGTCCCTGCTGCCTGGCCCTGTTCCGAGTGCCCTGTCTCCTTGGGGGCAGGGCCTGTGCTCTGAGCAGTCCTCTCTGCTCTCCCTCTAGCCTTGCTTCCTCAAGGACTGGGAGATGCACGTCCACTTCAGAGTCCATGGTGCAGGGAAGAAGAATCTCCATGGAGACGGCATTGCCTTGTGGTACACCCGGGACCGCCTGGTGCCAGGTAGGGTGGTGCTCACGCACGTGGGGGCGCCTGCGGCCAAGGATCCTCCATCCTCCCCTCCTCCCCGCCGTTAGGGTGCTAGGGTGCTGCTGCTCCTCTTCGAAGAACCCTGGGCCCTGGGGACGGCTGAGGGGATGTCCCTTTAGAAGACAATCCTGCAGCTCAACTCTGTGCCCCCTTGTGGTCTGTGGTCTACACCAGCTAATGGTATTTTTACCGTTTTAAAAAAGCAAAAACAAGGAAGACTGTGTGACAGAGACCATATGTGGCCCATGAAGCCTAAAATGTTTCCTCTCTGGCCTTGGACAGAAAGTTGGTGACCCCTAGGTTAGGGGGTGGTCCTTCCCTGCATGGCCCATTGTCACCTGCCACCTCGGAGCACATGGGCAGCTGCTGTTCCCTGATAGCTCAGGCTTCAAACTTGAGTCCTCTCTGAGACCGCCCCCCAGGCCCCACCCCACCCGCACTCCGAAACCCCTTCTCTCTTCTGGGAGAACCACCACGGATCAGCCTCTCTTGGCTCTACCCACCCTGGCATCACTTTGTCCTTCAGGTCCCCATGGGACAGCTCCAGTGTCTCCCATTACAGGAACATCTTCTAATTCCAGGGCCTGTGTTTGGAAGCAAAGACAACTTCCACGGCTTAGCCATCTTCCTGGACACGTACCCCAACGATGAGACCACGGAGGTAGGCGCCTGCTGCCCCGCAGAGCAGGGCAGGGCTTCTCCCTGGTCCCTGAAGGGCACCTCCAGGGATCGGGGGGGTGGTGGCCCTGGGCTCCCCACGGGCCGGGCTGTCCACGGAGTAACCGGTGTCCTGTCTCAGCGCGTGTTCCCGTACATCTCGGTGATGGTGAACAACGGCTCCCTGTCCTACGACCACAGCAAGGACGGCCGCTGGACCGAGCTGGCGGGCTGCACGGCTGACTTCCGCAACCGCGGTCACGACACCTTCCTGGCTGTGCGCTACTCCCGGGGCCGCCTGACGGTGAGCAGGCGTGAGGGGCAGCTCTGCGGGGGCTTGGGGGGGCCGGCCTGGGCTGCGCTTGACCTGCTGGCCGGCCGCAGGTGATGACGGACCTGGAGGACAAGAACGAGTGGAAGAACTGCATCGACATCACGGGCGTGCGCCTGCCCACCGGCTACTACTTCGGCGCCTCGGCTGGCACCGGTGACCTGTCGGGTGAGTGTGTGGGCTGAGCAGGGTGTCACGTCTCAGTCCCGACCTTCCCTGGTCTGTCAGGGTGTGTGACGCGGCTCATCCCCTTCCTCCTTGACCTTCCTTCACTTGGTTCCATACTCGCCTGGTTTTCTTCCCCCTACTTCCCATCTCCGTGAGCAGTCCCTTGGCCGTCTTCCCTCTCCATCATCTGGGAGCTAGGGGGCTTTGAATCTGGATGCAGTGGACCCCCAGATTTCCATCTCCAGACCCGTATCACCAACAGCATCTCTGCCCGGTGCCCAGCTGGCCTCTCAGCCGTCACATGCCCACAGCTGGAGACAGAAACGCACCTCTGTCCTTGTAGTTGCTCGGGTCCCAACACCTCGGTATCGGGAAGGGTACATCTCAGCGGCAGAGTGCCTGCTTAGTGTGCACAAGGTCCTGGGTTCAATCCCCAGTACCACCATTAAAAAAAAAACTTGTGTCATTCCGGCCTCTGCTTTTTCTCTCACATGCTGCTTCCCATCCGTTGGTGGGTCCTGCTGGTTTTGTCCTCACCCTGCAGCAGACCACTTCTCACCCCTCCTTTACTGCCAGCAGGTCCAGGCCACTGTCCTCCATCCCTTGGGTGACTGCAGGAGTCTCCCAAGAGTCCCCTCCTTCCGCAGCAGCCCCAGTACAGCAGCAGAGCCAACCCATTAATGCTACTCCTTCCGCCTCACCCAGAGTCAGGGCCACCATCCGCCCCATCGGTGGTCTGCCAGGCCCTGTGTGCTGGCACCTCCCTGCCCTGCCCCTCCGACTCACTACGCCCTGCTCCCCGGTGACACTGCCGCCAGCCGCTCTCCAGACCCACCCCTGCCCTCTTGCTTCAGGCCCCTGTGCTTGCATCTCACCCTCGGCTTCTCGAGGTCTTACTTAGATGTCACTTCCTCAGTGGGGCCTTCCCAGATTCCCTCATTTAAAGTTGCTCACACACCCAGTCCCTTGCACACTTACCATCACCTTTCCCAGCTTTATTTCTCCTCATGGCATTTAACCATCTTGGAGTCTGTCATGTAGCTTATTTCATTGTCTCTGTCCCTCTCACTGAATCATAAGCACAGTAGTGTCAGGGCTCTGTCTTGTCTGGCCCTCGGCAAGCGCTGTGAGCATTGGGGTGCTGCCTGCCTGCACAGGCCTCGCTGGGCCACCAGACCTGGGTGGCACTTGATGGTGGCCCTTGGCCGTGGTCTTCGGTCCCTTCTCAGGGCCCTCAGAAGGCACCAGGCCCAGGGCCAGCTCCTGACACCCAGAGCTGGGAAACAACGTGGAGGACCAGACAGAGGGCTTGTTTGTTGTCAGGATAGATGTTTCCAGGGCCTGTGAGCCATCCAGGACCTTCCCCCTCACCTGGGAAGTGTCTGGGTCCACTTGGACCCCAGTGTCTATTGTTCGGGGGTTTTGTTTTTAAGTTTGTAATATGGAAATCCCAGTTGTATGCACAGAAGAGGGGAGAATGGTGTGGTAGGCCCCTCGTTGCTGTTCCCTGGCGTCATTCATTACCAGCTTTTGGCCAGTCTTGTTCCATCTGTGGATCCACTGCAGCCCCTCCCCGGGTTACCTGGGATTCCATCTGACCGGGTTTCAGTGTGGGTCATGAGAAGGTTCTGGGAACAGAGCCAGGTCTGTGGCAGGTGGGCGTTCTCTAAGGCTGTTTGGAGAGGCCAGGAAGGGTGATGGCGGGGGCCGTGCATGTGGTGGTGTCTGGCCGTTAGTCACAGGCTGTGCACGTTGGCCTCCTCGCAGGCATCGCGTGGGGAAGGTCGCGTCATGTGTTCTTAGGTAGGTAGCGGTCTCTCTCCCCTTTTACACAACTGAGACCGTTGGGCATCCGGACGTTGAAGGGATCTCCTCCAGTTCCCACATCCAGGAAGCGCCGGAGCTCAGACGGGACCTGCAGTCTGACTCCAGCGTCCGTGCTTTTCCCGGCACTTCTGGGGGCTGCACACGCTGGGCCGTCAGGTACCGCTGGGCTCTGCCCTGCACGACCCGGCTGCCAGGTCTTTGCTCTTTAAGCTCTCCCTTTTCGGGGCCTTTCCTCAGATTCCTGTCAGTTAGCTGAGCTGATAGCTGGAGTCAGGCTGACCAGGACCCTCCTGTTGGCTCTGAGCTTCAACCTCCCTGTCTCAAAAACAGGCTGATCAGTTACCGTCAGTGTCAAGCAGAGGTTCCCTCCTGCCCGTGCTGATTGCACCGAGGCCTTTCCCAAGTCTCCTCAGCTACGGCCGCTGACGGTGTATCAGTACCCAGCTCTCAGCTGGCCGCCCAGTCTTGGGGTTGCATCCTGTACTTGGGTATCTGTGACGGGAACGTCTGACGGCTGCCTGCGCTTGGGAGGATCAGGTTCCTCAGCCGGCCTTAGAGCAGTGTGTAGGTCCTCATCTGGTCCTGTTTGCAAGGACACACCGTCTGCAGGCAGGACGCCCTCTGCCTTCTATGTGCTTTCTCACTTACGGGCCTCGATAACCTCGCAGGCTGGAGATTATCGCCCCCATTTACAAACTAAGCCGCACAGAGGCCGCGGAGCGAGGGTCAGACCCAGTGAGCCTGATTGTGTAGCCTGCACTTTCCCTCTCCGCTCTGCCGCCTTCCAGGTTTTTACTGCAGAGCTCTGGAAATATTCCAGCCCCTGCCTGCTGGGGGCTGCTGGGTTCTCCCCAGGGGACCTGGCCACTTCGTGTGGTGGGGGCTGGGGGGCCGGGACCACGTGCCCTGAGTCGGCCCCAGGCCCCTTACGGGCTGACTCCGTTCTGCAGACAATCACGACATCATCTCCATGAAGCTGTTCCAGCTGATGGTGGAGCACACGCCCGACGAGGAGAGCATCGACTGGACCAAGATCGAGCCCAGCGTCAACTTCCTCAAGTCGCCCAAAGGTACGCGTGCCCGGGCCCTCCCAGCCGGGGCCTTGGCTGGCTTGGGCGAGTGCCTGCGGTCCCTCTGCCCTTCCCTGGTCCAGCTAGGCCCTCGGCTCAGCAAACCGGGCTCACGAGAAGGCGCGAGCACCTGGCGTCTGTGTCCCCTGCGCCTGGTGCTGGGATAGCGGCCAGCGAAGCCAGAGGGGCAGTTTGTTGGTGTGGGGGGTGGGGGGCACTCGGATTCCACGCCGCGTGCGTGGCCTCAGTGAACAACTTGGAAGTAGGTCCTGCCGCTGCCGGGGGTGCTGATCCCTCAGGCTTCCTCAGCTAGAAGAGGTTAAAAAGGTGGGATGTGGCAAAACCCCAAGCCTGAGCTCTTCCCAGGGCTCTAATCAGCCGCCACTCCGTCCTCACAGAGCGAGGGTTCTCGTGGGGGAGACAAGGCCCCTGTGTGTGGGGGAGTCGTCTACCCAGGAGCCCAAAGTCACATGTGTGGGCCTGGCGGGTGATGGAGCACGTGGAGCCCAACATTTTACTTGACAGCCCACGTTTTAAAAATTCAAGTTGCTTTTAAACGTTTTGGGGACCAAGCAAATCCTGCCGTAGACCACTGTTTTGCCACCTCTGGTTGAAGGCTTTCTGCTGCCGAGGACTTCCAGAGACATCTTGTGTTCAACCCACCAAGCAGCCCCACGAGGCTGGCCGGGCAGGGGTAACTCGTTTTCAGACTCACAGCCCACTGGGTAGAGAGGGTCAAAGCAGAAGGATGGAGGTTGGGGGCCGAGGGCCTGGGAGAGCCCCCTCAGAGCCACTAAATGCATCCAGGTGTGAGGGAGAGCTGCCTCTGGCCAGGGCCGTGTCTCTCAGGGACCTCAGACCCCTGCGCCAGAGCGAGGGTGGGCTTGTGAAGGCAGGTCCTGGGGCCACCTCAGGCAGACCCAGGCTTTCAGGGAGAGCCCAGGAGTCCAGTGTTCACCAGCTACTTACAGCAGAAGGTACCCCAGGCCTCAATCCCTGAGGGCCTCAATCCCTGGGACCGAGGCCCCCCAGGAGCTCATCCCTCTGCCCACGCCCCGGCGTCTCACTGGTGCGGTGTCGCAGGCCGCAGCATCGCCCGCAGGGTGGGTGTGGGGCCTCACCAGGCTGCTGGCTCTCCCTGTCTCCGGGGAGCCCACCGGGCCTCTCATTCCCCCGTTTGTCCTCCCTCAGACAACGTGGACGACCCGACGGGGAACTTCCGCAGCGGGCCGCTGACCGGGTGGCGGGTGTTCCTGCTGCTGCTGTGCGCGCTGCTGGGCATCATCGTGTGCGCCGTGGTGGGCGCCGTGGTGTTCCAGAAGCGGCAGGAGCGGAACAAGCGTTTCTACTGAGCGGCCAGCGCTCGGCTCGGGGAAGGGCCCCGGCGCTGATGTGAACTGTTTTTTACTGGGATTGTAAAAGAAAAACCAGACGACCTTATTTCTTAACCATTTCAAAGAAATAATTAAAGTATTTTCATACATTTTGCTTCTTGCCCAGTGGGGACAGGCTGCAGGGCTGGGGAGTGAGGGGTTGACAGCCCCACAGCCAGGGGGGCGGAGGCCCTGGGTGGCTGCTGGCCCCTCTGGAGCAAGGGGTCTGTGCCCGGAGCTGGGCCGGGACCCGGCAGGAGGCTGGTGAACACTGGAGGCCCCCAGCCCACACTGGGGTGGGCGCCTGAGGACACGAGCTGTGACTTTGTTCTGTGCTGTGAGCTGTGTGTGGCAGAAGAGGAGGCCGACTGGGGAGCCTGGGCCCCTTCCTGTTCATCCTCCAGCTCCTTCCCGAGGCGGACCCTCCATCGCGGCTGGAGGAGCAGTGAGGTGGGGCACAGAGTGTGACCGTTTGTTAAATAAAGTGAAATAACCAACCTCAGCTGAGTGACTGTCCTCAGAGGCTTGCTTTCCTTCAGGTGACTCCCCGCCGGCCGTGCGTTCCAGCTCCTGGCCTGATCCCCTCAGGCCTGCGGCACAGCCCCGGGAGCAGGTGCTGTGGTCCCCATTTCCCAGCTGGAGAATCACAGCTCTCGGAGGTCAAGCCTACCTCGCCCAGTGTCACACAGCGGGTGGCATCGTGGGGACAGGACCTGCCCTGCCCCCACGCGCTCCGCGTGGAGGGACCCCTGGGGAGGATGTGGATCTCACGTGGAGGGCTGACCTCCCCCCGGGGGAACTCTGGGGGCCCTGGGAGGGGCTGCGGCTGCAGGGGCAGGTTGGGGTCGGCAGTGGCACTCCCAGCGGGGCTGGTCTTGGGACTGGGTTCCCTCAAGCGTTGCAGTGATGCGTTGACGCGGCACCGGGACCCCGTCTTAAAGCAAAAGCAGCCCCTCACCTCCTGGTGCGGCGGGGCTTTCTGTAGCTGCCAGTGTCGGCTGGGTTCTCGCTGTAAAACTGTAGGAGATGGGGTGAGGCAGGAGGGCTTACCGTCCCCTCGGTCTCCCCGGCTCGCTCCCTGGAGCGCTTCATCCATCTGCCCTTACCCGTCTCCCGTCCCTTGCGCCGTCTCCCATCACTCACGCCGTCCCCCGTGTGCGTCCAGGTTAGACGTGAAGGGACTGTTCACAGGCTCCTCTGGGCTGCGTTTCCCTCACGCGAGTCTGGGAGCCCGTTCATGAAGCCGTAAGAGCAATTAAGCATGATCCTCCTGACTGAAATACTTGATTGAGCACTTCCCTCGGAACAGTTTCTTTACTCAGAAAGTAGCTAACACAGTGCCTTCTATGGGCCAAGTGTGGCTCCGAGCGGTTGACGTGGACTAACTCACTTCACTCCCCGCCACTTAACATGGATGCGAGGATCCCACTAGGGCAGGTGGCTCCCGCCTCCCGGCCCGTCTCCCTGGAGGGGAGCGCCGTGTCCATCGACATGCATGGCGAGGCCTGGAGTCTGGAACCCTCTGCGGCTGCAACAACCGTGCCATCAGCACCACACTCGCCGTACCTGGTTTCTCCTGAATCCCTGAACTGGGCAAGCCGGCATCCTGGGTTGAGTGGTTCTCACTCCTGGCTGCATGTTAAAGTCACCTGGAGAATGAAAGTGATCCTGGCTCTTTCTCCAGTTTAAGAAGTCGGTGGGGCCAGGCAAGGGCAGTTTTAAAAGCACCCTCCTCTGAGCACCCGACCCTGGCCTGGGTGAGCATCCAGGCTTGAGAACCCGCCGGTGTTAGGCTGCTGATTTGAAGGCAGAGCCGAAAGTGCTCGTGCTGGTCTGTGCTTGGCCGTCAGGGTCTCGTTTGCGTCTCCTTCAGAGTTCACACCCCGAGGTGCTTCCCCAGAAGGTTACACAGTTACATGTGTTTATACCTGCCTTTTCGCACACATGGGATTGTGATGCCATAATCTGTGTTTTTGCCACGTGCATTTAAAAAGGGAGTTATTTCATCATGTCAGTTACATGTAAACCTGTGTCCCTGGACCTGCTGTACCACATGAGGAATAAACCGTTGCCCACAGGCTTGCATCCCTCTCTGTCCCCTGTCCTGGACGTGCGCTTCTCCCGCCAGAGGTGACCGCTGCTGGTTCTGACTTCTTACGTGTTTCTGAGAAATTTTGCCATGAAAGTATCCCCAAATACATAGTGTTGCTTTGCACTTTTAAAAATCATAAACGGCACACAGGTGTGTTTCTCAGCATTTGACATTCAGCATGGTTTGCGAGTCTTCGAGCTACGTGTGGCTCGAGACGCGGCCTGGGTGGGCTCCACCTTCTCCATTCTCCACTGCTGTCACATAGGCTTTTGCTCTTGGATGGAGTGCTGCCCTAAACACCCGCGAGCAGCCTGCACGCACGAGTGTACGGGAGCTGCCGTTGTGACCCACGTGCGTTTCAGTTTTACTAGACGTCAGGGTGCTCTGTGAAGGGGGTCGTAGCCATTCTGCTCCTGCCTCACTGACTGCCAGCCCCTCTGCCCTCTTCTTAGCATTTGACGTCATCAGTACTTCATCTCTGATGGTCTAATGGGTGCAAAAGGTTTTCATTTTTTATTTTTTATTTTTTAAATTGAAGTATTACAGTGTGTCGATTTCTGGTGTACAGCATAATGTTTCAGTCATACATATGCATGTGTGTATTCTTTTTCATATTTTGCATTAGAGGTTCAAGATATTGAATATAGTTTCGTGTGCTATATAGTATATAAACTTGTTTATTTTATATATAGTAGTTAGTATCTGCAAATCTCAAACTCCCAATTTATCCCTTCCCACCCCCTTTCCCTTTGGTAACCATAATTTTGTTTTCTATGTCTGGGAGTCTGTTTCTGTTTTAAAAATAAATTCATTTGTGTCTTTTTTTTTTAAGATTCCCACGTATAAATAATGTGACGTGATATTTTTCTTTCTCTGTCTGGCTGGCTTCACTTAGTATGACAATCTCTAGGTCCATCCATGTTGTTGCGAATGGCATTATTTCACTCTTTTTTATGGCTGAGTAGTATTCCATTGTATAAAATGTACCACAGCTTCTTTATCCAGTCATCTGTCGATGGACATTTAGG